GTGGTCCAACCTCGTTCTTGTACATATGCTGTTTTATGAGAGAAACAAAATGTAATAAAAAAGGAGTGGAACTGTTATTCTTTACTTTAATAGGCTTCTCTTACAGTACTGTTGGTTTGAAATATTTAAATAGATGCTTAAATGTGTCTGTCTAGATGGGAGTGTGTTATTTAAACTCATCAAAAGGCATATAATGTTTCCAGCATGTTCTTAAATGAAAGTCTCAAAAGGAAAAACGAATGGATCATCTGAAAATCTATGGAGAATTTACTTACTGTGTATAGTTTGAACCTTCAATAAATATTGCATCATATCTCTAGATAATTCATTTTTGTTTGCATAAAAATAACATTCTAATAATTTAAGTGATCAGTTGAAATATGATTTATGAAGGCTATGGCATTTAACAGAACAGTTTTCATTTAGTATTTTTCCATGTCATTGGATTGCAAATGAATTCATTTTGTTGGATGACCCGTAATACAGTATATTTGCCACAACTAGGCACATTCTTTCTATATATGACTGGATTTGGAATAACATGTGATTTCATTTCTTCCTATTATAATAGTGCTTTTACACATTTCCTATAGCCAGTATAGTTGCAAAAAGTGACAATCTGGGAAAAAATAATAAACCTTGACAATAGAGAAAAACATTGGGAATTCTATAAGTAGTTGTGTATATAAGTGTATGTGTGCATGTGCTTTCTAGTTGCCTAGGAACTTATGGTGGCCCCATACATTTCCTGGGGTTTTCTTAGTCAAGGAATACTCAGGATGGGTTTTGCCAGTTCCTTCCACTGAAATATAGCCTACAGCACTTGGTGTTCTCTCATCCAAGTATTAACTATGGGTACTTATACAAAGCAAAAACATTTTCCTCTATCTTGTTGATGCACATTTTTTCTACTCACCTGGTTTCTTCCTGGTTCTTTTTTGCTTCTCCAGAGATGTGTATGCTGATCTAATAATAGGAAGTAAGCAATGCTGACAATGGAAATATTGAGAAAGCAATTCCGAGATCTTGTACATTAAGTGGAACAAACAATGAGGGGAATAGCTTTTGTTTATGGTTATGTGTTTAATAAGCCCAACTAAAGCAATGTGCATATTTGTATGTATGTGTGTATACAAGAAACGTGGTCATGATCCATATGAGAAACAAAGACAAATATTAGTTGAGTTGAATAATGGCAAAGGAGAGAGGCTGCTTAGCTTTTCTGTGTTGCTACCTGTTTATTGAAAATAATATTTCCACAATTATGTACCTATGTATTGCTGTGGGGAAAACACATATACTATCTTATGGTTGGAACAACAGCAGCAGAGGGTGTTGAGTGGGAAAATGTCAGGAAAGAAAAAGGCTAAAAAGATCCCTTCCTCTGCCACTCTTCATCAACATGTCTGATACCACTTTTCAGGTGGAGGTCAGGGCTGCCCATGTCTCTTCCTGTGGCACGTCTGTCTTCAGGGTGACAAATCTGAAGTTTAAAAGAGCTATCCAAGGCATATAACCTATTTATTGACTCCTTTGCAATTCAGGCTACAGCCCAATGTGGATTTACCATTCTTTTGACATGGAAACCACTAACTACCATAGGTTTCCCCTGTGTTGCATATATTTTAGTCCAAAGAGAAGAAATATATGTGAATTCTCAATTCCTCAGTTCTCTATAACTGACAGCTTGAGAATTTAACATAGTGATTACCACACCATGTCCTGGAGCAAGCTCATTTGCTGACAGTGAAAAGTGCTGAAAGCTGTCTTGTAAAATTAAGTTACTATGGTGGATGTACCCACCCGATATTCCTCAGAGCAGAGAAGGTCTTCCTTTTCTCTCTACCAATATGCAGAAAGCAACATAATTCTAGGGAATGATACACTATGACTCCCTGACACATTGCAGTTGACAGGCAAAGTTGGACTCTAAGATGATTTTATTGCGCAGAAAGCTTGACTCATCCCTGCACCCAGACAGAGTTGTAAAGAACAATGTGAAATGTCTACAGATAAAAAACTGTAGTTGTGTGAGGACAAAAAAAAATATTTGTAGGTAGGGGTCCCTTCAAACAAAAATGTGAAATGTCCCTCCATATTTAAACCTATGAAAGACAAGATTTTGATCTTGGACCAAGAAGACTGGGAAACAATGCAATATAACACAGAATATCAAGGCAGATAATCCACAATATCTGCTTTGAATTGGATTATCTGAGTCGACACTGCCATATAATCAAGTTCAATATGTATTTTATACAGCTGTGTGGAAGGGGCCTCTGTTACCAGAAGAGTAGTTACATAGTTGTCTATAGCAGTGCATTACTGTATGTCTATATTCCATACCAGTACATATTTATCTAGTGCTTAAGTATGCCCTTAATGTTGGAGCAAGACACTACTTGAATTCTTTGCAATTTCAGCATATTTACAGCACCACTAGGCAGAAAAGGAAATCTTTTCCCAGAGACATTTGGTTTTATGTGCTTCTGCTGCTTGAGAACAACAGGTGATAAATGATTGATGGAAGGACTGAAAAAGAAGAATGGGAAAATAGGAATAGGATTCCAACAAGGAAGATTAAGAAGGCAGGTGAAAAGCAGTGACTCTTTAGAACAGGTATTCGTTGTTAACTGATGTCAAATCAACTTCAGCTTATAATGACCCTATGAATAAGAGACCTCCTATTCACTAAAGATTCTTTTTAGGTCTCCCATCCATGTTTTGACCAGGTCTGACCTTCTCAGTTTCCAAGATCTGATGGGATTTGGTGCCTTTAAAGTATTTAGGTCCCTTCTATGTTCCCAAAGGTTCTTATCTCGAGAGAAAAAAAGATTTGACTGGTAATTTTAAGTTGAAAAAACCTTTTGTCTGGTGTATAGATGGTACAGAATTGCACTTATCTTGACCCAAATAGGTGTGGTAGGCCAAGCCAAGACAAAGACAAAGACATTGTTGTTTAATATTGTTGGAAAACCCATATTTTTCAGATATGGTTTCAGATATGTCAGTGGATCAGATTTGATGACTTCACCTAACAAATATAAGATATACAGAGCTGTTATTTTAATTACTTTAAAAGAGTCTAAAATTGTAGATTTTCAAAACTTTGGTCTGCCTGTCCACCTCCAGATGTTCACATAGATGTCAGGAGAAGGGATGTTGGTAAAGGAATCCTAATGCTTACTTCAATTTTTTCAGAAACCCTTTCAAGAATTTCTGAATATGTCCCCCTTAATTCAGTTATATGCTAATAATCCTGGCACATTATCTGAAGGTAAAATTGTCTGACAATGGCTATAATACACAGTGGTGTTACAGATCAAGTGAGTAATTTACCTTAAAAAAACCCCAAAAGCCTGCTGGAGAAGAGAGAAAACAAGCTTGCTTCTGGAACAAATTATTCTGACCATCAGCCAAATAATCGTTTATTCTCCCTTCGTCCCCAATATGGCACACATGGAATATGTTCAAAATATCTTCAGTTACAATCCCAGACATTCATACTAGTACAAAAGAAGGACTTGCGTCATTAGTGAGTTATGATTTTCCATTATATTGTGCAGCAGACACAATATATCATCTGCAGGCAAGAAAATGTATAGTTAGAACTCACTTGCTTTGTTTTCTTACTTTCTTTGCCAGAATGGCCATTGTTTTATCATTTGATTTAACTTGAACATGTAATTCAATGCCATTCTGATTTTAACAATATTTCTAGAATACATACTTAGTGATATTGTTATTTCCTTTGGAACAGTTTTTGCCATCTTTGTTTCATTGTGCGTTTATTCTGGGCCTGCTGATGATGCATGAGCTAGATTTCTAACCTTGTCTACAGCTGGATCCCTACACTTTGCTTTAGTTGACATTTTTCCAGTAGCAGATGGTGTTTTTCATGTCAGTGGGCTAGTCCGCTTAGGGACCTCATCACATTAGACTTCAGCCCCATCCTACAATGCTTGCAGGATGGAGCCAGGATGTGGCCTGCTGGAGCCCCTCACGTGACACAGGGCTACTTCCAGCAGAACTTCAGTCTGACTCTGTCCTGCAAGCATCATAGGACAGAACCCTGAGGACACAAGAGGCTTCCTGCATTCTCACCCAGTAAGCTGGAGAAAGCTAGGCAGAGACGCTTTCCCCCATAGGAAAGGATGGCTGTGAGGAAAGATGGATGTATATGCAAAGCAAACTTCCGCTCTGTCACTATTATTACTTGGTCCACCTTTTCAATGCTTCACCTTATATCAGCAACAGAGAAGTTCATCTGAAAAGTTATGATTTATCACTGCTTAATGTCGCTTATATTCCTCTGATAGGAAAAAAAGGAAGCTCAATTATCCTCATTGCTCTGTATGTGTTGTCTCATTTTCTTTTGTCTGTTCTAGAATTTTATTCTTGCTGGCATTGCTTTGGCTTGTGACTGTCAATTTAATACTATTTTTTTAATTAAAGCAAACGCTGTAGAAATAAATCCTTATTTTTGTTTAGTTCCAGCACATGTGTCACTCTGCTCTCTTTATCATGTCCTCTGTTCAACAAAACAGTTTCCAGAAATGTACCAAATTAATGTCTTTCTGTGAAATGAACAGAATTTCTTTCAATTAACTTTCATTTCTAAAAGTTATGCTTGATAATCCTCATTCTTTTATTTTAAATATAGTATATCTTAGCATTTCCGTTTCATGCAGTTTCAGCAGTTTCTAAGACAACAATGGCCTATGAACACATGCCATCTGAAATTATTATCAAGAAATTACCTCAAAATTCAAGTTTAAAATATTAACTGGCATGGACAAAAAAAATATTTTGATGAATGAAGGGTGGTCAGTGCATTTGAATGTGTTTTGATAGAATATTGCTTTTTGTTTGCATTTTGTCACTGCTTTCTTATAAATAAATGAATAAGGATTAAATCTACATGTAAGAACACAGATAACAGCTTGGATGCCTTGTTAATTTCTTTTTATTATTATTCTTCTATTGTTTTTGTTGTCGTTTTTCCTTTCGGCAGAAGCTGCAAATTAATTTTGTTTCTTTTTTCTCCTCCCTTCTAGTTCTTTAATGGTGCCTAACAAAAACCAAGGGGACAGCAAGAAAACTTGGGAGTAAGTAATTAACATTCAAAGCCTTCGTGTTCAGACACCTTTTATACTTTCTTTTGCATCCAACTAGCAAGACATTTTGAAACAAGCTTTTAATTAACAGGTGGGTTTAATTGATATGTAGGTTGTCTTTGACCGGCAAAGACCTCTATGAAGAGGAAAGAGAACTCCCATCATGCTCACAGCTGAAGACCCTCAATTCATTTGCGGTTTAATCATCTTCTTTTCAGATTGGGGGAGGCTTTTCTTTCATAAAGAAAGAATGCAGATTTAATATTTTTAAAAGCTTAACTAGGAAGACAGTACATTGTGAATACTTTTGCTGGAATCTGATTGCTTTAAATGGAAGCCAGTCTGAACTGCCTTCATTTTGAGAGACTGAAATACTTCTGATTCCCATGGGCTTTAATTCTGATGCTCCCCGGGCCCCTATACTTTCAAAATGCTTCCATGTGGAGTATTTGCTCGGCATGTATTGCATAAATACCCTTAGGGCAGTTCTTAGATGAAGTTCATTCAAGAAGATCCTGTTTATCCTTGTGCATAAATCTGTTTTTGCTGGTGTCGATATGCAGCTTCTGCAAAAGAGGATAACTCAGCCTACAAATCACCTTGAAGCTACTGAACCATCTGTTGCAGTTTGGTAATATGACAATTGGAATCGGAGAGGGTAATTATTAAACAACCATAGGCCTTCTTTGCTTGATCAGGTGAAAATATCAGTGTGCTGTTTTGTTTCATTAATACCACCTAAGGTGGAATTGTGCATCTGCTGTAGATCAGGGTGTTACACTATGTTGCTGCTTGCTTACTTTTTCGCTTTCATGGAGTCCGGAAGGAAAAGGAAAGGCTTAAGCATCCCACAAAGAATAACATGTGTAATGAAAGCAATATGCAAAAGCCAGGTATTACCAAAAAGGAAACATGTTCTAAGGCCAGAATGGCCCCCAGATGTTAAGTGGAACCTCCCAACAGGCTGAGCCAGAATAATCAAGCAATAAGTGGGGGATGCTGGGAATTTCAGTCCAAACATGTCTGAAGTACAGATTTTGAACCCTCCTGGACTATGGCATGGAATGTGACTCATACGAGACCATGTATTATTATTATTATTATTATTATTATTATTATTATTATTACTACTACTATTTTCTGACAAATTAGTACAACTAAAATTAGTATTCTTTCTTTTTAGTTTGCAACATCAGCCACTAGTGTTAATAGGGACTGTACTTCAACATGTGCTGGATAACCAGGCCACTTGATCAGAACTGTACAGTACTTGAATATAGTTGTTTAATAAACACTTTAAGCAACTGAATATTAAATACAAATAAATGTGCCATTATTTCATTAATTTGTTCCTTATGGGAAACAGATGGATATTATGCTAGTGTCTGTGTATTTTGCAAGAGCTCATTAAATTAATGATATCCATAGGAAAGTGGGGTGAAAAGGCAGTCCTATAAACAAGGAAAATCTCTTCTGTGTGTATACATGCAACATCTACTACAAATACAATTCTGTGAGTTCAATATGTTTTTCATGACCAAGTTGTATTAATGACAGAAAACATTTTAATTAACTAATAGTAAACATCTGAAATGATGGTAGATTATTAATTGATTTCTAGGAGGATTTCAGCCATCTCAGAAAAATGTAATGGTTCTAAAGAAGAGATATTATCATTTATCTTCTTTGAAAGACAATGTTTCATAGTCAGGTGCTCTTATCCTGATATATCATTAAAATAACCATATCCCTTCACTATGTATTTTTAGAATCATGCATTTCACTATGACTATGTATTATTCATGCTTGTGGAACATGACATTTATCTCATTTAAGATGAGAGACCAAATAATTCACAGCTGAGTGTGTGCAAATAAGGAACACTAATCTCACATATAAACGTTTATAGTCTTTATTTGCCTTCACTTTAATTTGTTCATTAATACTATTTTGAACTACATCCCTAAAGAATGTCCTCAGCCAGGTTTTTAGGAATGTACATTCTTATTGTGATCAGAGTTCAGAATTAGTTCACTGCTATACTGGGAGATGTAAGACACCATGGGAGAATAATTCCCAGCCTTGTTCTGTAGGTGTTCAAAATATTTACCATCATTTGGCTCCAAGGGAGCTCCCAAAGGCTGTATATAAAATGGAAATGTATATTAAAAGAAGTACATTTTGACTTTGGAGAGGAGATTCAAAAGATGGCTATCTACAATAACATTCTTCGAACTACCTTTAAAAAGTGCAGTCTGGTATCACCTTTCTTGCAGCCCAAATGTAAATGAAGCTATATTCTACTGGCATGTATGAGCACACAACTTCAGCACTGACATTGGAGTGGCCATATCCTTCTATTCTCTTTTGCAGTACCCTCCCAGGATCTATTTTTAGGAGACAGTGGCTTGAAATTAATTGTTAGCCCCATTTAGATTAGATGCCTTGGATAATGGCTGACCTCTACGTCAACACTCATGTATTTTCTATTACTTCAATGGATCTACTCTAGGGATAAGTAATTGATGTTGAAAGCTTTACCATTTCAACAATCAAAGAACTAGCAAGCACCATCCTTCCAACTGAAAACCCAGTTAGCTGACCAATCACTACCTATTGGGATTAATCATGCTAGTAAAAGGTATGAGCCAAGTAGGGCCTGATTGAAGACAAATTGTTAAGGGCAGCAGAATCTCACATTTGCTTTGCAATATGACCAGGGTCAGGAAATGTTGGGTGGTACTATATTAAATAGGAATTGTTTGGTTACAGGATTGCATGAGAGAAGGTATAATAGGTCAGAATGGGAAGAGCAACTCGGGGGGTGGGGGCAGGCCTGTAGTCAGGGGGGGGGGGGTTAGGGGTTCACCCCCCCCCCCAAATTTTTCAGATTAAAAAAAAACTGGTTTACTCATGAATTTTAACTGGTTAACCAAATCCCCATGCTAAGTCTATGAGATGCAAAAAATTAAGAGGCCCTCCAGAACTGCAAGCACTATCTCATGCAAATATTGACAATTTATTCACACTGTCATTACTTGAAGCAATAGCCGATGCAGTGAAGAAAGTTTGGGGGGGGGAGGGAAGTGTTGAATGCTCTCATTAAGGAGGCCAGACTTGGTGGAGGTGGTTGACAGGGGTGGAGCTGCAGGCTATTGGAGGCTGCTCTGCCCCCTACTGTGCTCTTTGCTTCAGTGTGAGCTAGGAGGCAAGTTTCAACCGCTCCCCATGAAATTTTCAACCCCCCTCCCAAATTTTCAACACCTCCCGAATTTTTTTTCTGGCTACGTCCCTGGATGGGGGTATCTTCAAGGGGATGTATCAAGATTGTGGGCTACATGCTCCATTTGCAGCTGAACTGTTTGACCAACCTAGACTCAGGGCCCAGGTCAGGTGGCAGATTGGGGCAGGAAAGTCTGTGGACATATCTGGTAAAGGCTTCAGACTGCTGCTGCTACTTTTCCACAAGAGACCTGAAATATTCCAATCCAGCTTTGCTGTTTTCTGGACTACTTGTGAGTAGCAGAAGCCCCAGGCCTCTGCTGCTCCTGACTGTGGCTTCTAAGTGTTCCACGCTTGCTCAATGGTGCTGTTTCTGCCCTTCTCTTGTTCCTGCGGTTGGAGCTGACTGTTTATCTCCCTTGTCCACACCACTTCCATTAACTGGTGCTGGCCCTGCAGTTCCTGCTGACATCCATCTTGGAACCAGCTCAGCACCTCCATTTTGCTAAGTCACTTAGAACTCTGGCTCTCAGCTGCTGGGCAGGTGGTCCCTTAATATGCACTTTATATGCTCTGGTTAATATCTTGTTAATTTACCAGATTCAGGAACCCTTGTAGGGCCTATGTTGATCTTTTTAATATCTTTTGTTATTAGCACTACCTCTGAGGGGGGAGGGGGTATTTTGGTTTTATTATTGCAGAACCATCAAAATGCATTTAACAGCTCCACTTTTTAAGATCTGTATTGGGAAGTAACCCAGGACTTTTGCACCTTGACACTTTAGTCCCGATCATTAATCAACATCAACTTGGCTTCTAACCAATTCGTATATTTTGCACTTATAAGCTCCTAAGACTCCTAAGACCTTTCATCAGTCCCCATGCTGCTTCCCAGCCCACTGCACTTAGCACATTTTCCCAACTAGACACGTGTATCACATTTATTTATTTTTTAATTTTTTATTATTTTATCATAGTTTGATACATTTGTTATACATTGTTTATTTTACAGTAGATTCATATTATTCAATACAATCTATCATACTTTAACTTTTGGTATCTACTGTTATTTTTCTACTTATACATATTTTCTATCTCTCACCCCCGTGCTCCCCCCCCCCCCAAGCCACAGTTTTTACATATTATCTGTCCAAAATTTCAGTTCTACTTGTGGAGGTAACTGTCCTTCTTTCTTTTAAAATACTTTTTCAATAAATTTTCTCCATATTTCTTCAAAATCACTTTGTTTCCACATACCTCTTTTAACTTTTAATATACATGTCAGCTTATCATTTATTGCCAATTTCCATGCTTCCATGTACCACTCCTCTATTTGTATATTTATTTCCCTTTTCCAATTCCTTGCTATAAGCAGTCTTGCTATTGTTAATAAGTTTATCACATCTTTATCCTCTTTTTGTTTATCCTCTTTATCCTCTAATTGTTTATTATTATATAATGATAATAAAGCTATACTAGGACTTCTTTCTATTTTAATGTTCATTATATCCTCTCTAAATACTTTCCCCCAAAATTATTTACATATTTACATTGCCACCACATATGTATATATGTTCCTGATTCTTGGCATCCTCTCCAAAAAAATTTGAGTAGTTTTTTTTATATTTGCTATTTTTACTGAAGTAAGGTACCATTTCAATATTAACTTATAGTAATTTTCTTTATCCCTATTGATAAATTCTTTAGATGTCTTTGTCTCCATAATTGTTGCCACTCATTTCATTTATTTTTATCCCTAAATCTTCTTCCCAGACCTCCTTAAGGGTGTTGGTTTTTTTGTTTTTCCTTCCTTTATTTCAATTATTATCTTATATACTTTACTAGTTATTCCTTTTAAATTTTTGTGCTCCTCTACAGCCCTTCCATTTTGTATTATTTGTTCAAATTGGTTAAGCTTACTTCCGTTTTTATTATTTTTTACCCAGTTTTTAAAACCATTGTTCTAATTGTATACAATGGAACCATGTCAATTTTATTTCTCTAAATTCTTCCATAATCATTTCCTTCTTCATTCCCACCTTTATCCACTATTTTGCCTAAGTTTTTTTCCCTTAATGTTTTATCCATTTTTTAATTTTTTGGAAATTGCTTTTCTATTACAATTGGAGTTATTACTAAACCAAAACCAAGGTTACAACAACATCTGTTATAGAACTCCAGTATGCTGATGACAATGTCGTCTGTGCGCATTCAGAAGAAGATCTACAAGCCACTCTAAACACCTTCGCAGAAGCATACGAGAAGCTCGGCCTGTCATTGAACATTGAAAAAACCAAGGTGCTTTTCCAGCAGGCACCAGCCAACCCCTCTCCAATGCCAGTGA